AGGACGCCAAGGGCCAGAGATGTGCTTCTTTAACCTGCCTGGCTAATAAATGACAGAGCCGGGGTCTGGGTCAAGCCGGTGGGAAGCACAGTGCCCAGAGTCTGTCCCTCCGGTGGTTAAGGCACACGGGGCCACGCCTCAGCCCAGAGTGGCGGCCCACGCATGTACCATGGCACAGTTTTACGTAATTTCATTGGGAAAGGTTAAAATATCAGTGTTTGCCATCCAAGCCCATGAACTGAGTTACGATTTGTGTACACCATGTGACTTTCCAAGACACGGAATATGTTAATAATGATTCTAACTGTTTCACAAAAGTGAATTTTCCAGATGACCAAAGCTTATCCTTTGAACTCTGAAGCCTTTATGTTTTAAGCGACAGTCTCTTCCAATCTCTCTTCACCCTTGCACAGAGGGTCTTGGGTGTGGATGATCTTAACACATCTCTGAGCCGTGTGAAGAATCGGCTCTTTGGAAAATCGCAATAATGCACAACTGTGAGGAAGAGAGACGCTGCCCCAGGGGAAAGGACACAAAGGGCGCCAGCTCACCTGGGCTTGGACAAAGGCCACTTCTGAAGTCTTGTACACGTGCAAAAACAGCTTCACGTAGTAGAAGCTGAAGACAGAACTTAGCATTTCGGTCCCTAATGTTGTCACAGAATAAGACCAAGAAACGGGCTTCGTACTTAAAAGTGTCATTTTGCACACAGAGGGATTCTTCTTCCTTTGTTTAAAAAAAAAAGGAAAATGATCAAAATTCACCATTTGCATTCAATAGCTGATGGGTGGCAAAATTCCACTGGATACCAGTTAACATTAGTTAAATAAAGTCCCAAACCCCTAGCTATGAACAAGTAACCACGTTTAACACTTTACTTTCCTGTCCATTCACTCAACATTTTTCGAGAAGCTGCCGGGGACCTTAACTTGCATAGAGTGTGATGCTACTTAAATATATTTTCGATATTTCTTCTAACTTGTAAAAATGAGATTTATCCAAGAGTTTGGATGTGCTTAACTTGTGTTTATGGCATTATTATCCTCCCTACCTGGGGAGGGGCAATAGAAAAAGAACAATGAGGTGACATCCTTGAGCTAGAGTCAGAAAGAAGTTGAAGTGAGCCCTTCACTTTAGTACACAGTTCTCCATTCAGTAGTACGGACTTGCATTGGAAGATTTAGTCTTCGTCTCTCCTGACAGACTGTAACGTTGGCCCAAAGGACCATACCGAAGATGGATGTAGAAAAAAAACATTCTGGTCCTTGCATGATAAAAATGTCCCTTGTAAATCTGACCTATCTTCTTACCCTTTCAGTGACTCGATTTATCCAACTGGAGAGCAGGAAAAGGTTAACCAAGCTAGAAGTAGGTATAGATTCGTCTTCCTTTTAATCTTGACAAAGTTTTCAGGAAGTGCCATTACTGTCCTGTGTTGTCGCCATCTTGCCGGGATATTTGGCCAGGTCTCCACACTCTTACTGAATCAGAAAATAGACAGATACTCTGATAACTTGAGAGCGATAACTTGCTTGAATAATGCTTGGGAATTAAGCAGACACTGCAATCTGTACCGCCCAATTTCTTAGGGAAGGAAGGGCAAATCAGAGGCAGGGAGAGGGCATCTGGTTCAAACGATCGAATTACCTAAGTCCCTGAGCTTCACTTGCACAGGGAAGATCCAAGAAGATTCCAATTCCTTGGCAAGTAGGGCCTTAGAATTACCGAAAGAGGTTATTAAACCCATGTGCAGACCATTGTCTGTGGACACGATAAAGAATATTTCGCCCATACATGTACTGGTATTCTCACAATGTTTGTAGATTCAGCTGTAATGAGAAAGTATAAATTTGATTTTTTCTGTCATTAAGCTCAAACACTTGAAAAATACAAGTCCTATTATGTGGAAGTCAGCCAACATTTTTGGCTTTTAAGATAAATTCTCAGATTTGAAAAAGCTGGGAACTGCGGGCGAAGACCTCACTGTAGGGAGTCACTTTTGGCCTAAGTGAAAATAAGGATTGAGGATAGAGGTCACTAGGTTACCAAGAGGGTTCAAATCGAGGGAGTCAGTCTACGGCCACGTCACCCTGAACAAGCCCGATCCCATCTGATCTCGGAAGCTAAGCAGGGTCAGGCCTGGTTTGTACTTGGATGGGAGACCACCTAGGAAGACCAGGTGCTGTAGGAGTAAAAAATAAAAAAATAAGGGATTGTAAACTGACAAGGTCCTTGCAATCAATCTGTGAGGTCAACCAAGGGTTGCCTCTCCTAAAAAACAAAACAAAACAAAATAATCAAGGGAGTCAGAAAAACCAAAGCCAAGATACAAATTCAGTCCTCCAAAATCCAGAGTCTTCTTTTCCTTAGTTTTATTTGGGGCATGTTAAAACAAGAAGCATGCCGCACCTCCTGAACTGATTTATCGTTAAGTCAGAAGACAGGTATTTAAAAACTCAGAATTTTGCTAAGGGTCATAAGCTTACTGAGTTGAGATCAAATTTTTTAAAGAGCATTTGAGTTAAGCATCCACCCTGTCTGAAACATGTGCATATAGGTTTTAAGAATGTTTATGAAAAACTCTACAGCCTGAACTTCTCTTTGTTTATATATAGAGCAGGTAAAATCTTATTTCCATCTACAAAAGAACTATCAATATTTTGCTTTAGATTATTGTCATCATAGTAAATACTTATTTAAGTATCAAGCTGAAAATCACCAAATTCTTTTAAAAGCCACCACTATCTAAAGGCTCTCCTTATCTGCTTTTACTATAGCAATAAAACCAGAGTATTATATCTTTACAACCAGGGACAAAGGAATGCTGGTTCCTCTTTACTACAAAATGTTTTATACCAAAGAGTTTAAATGCAGAAAAATGGTATAATGATTAGGCTGGACAGGTGAATTATTAAATAAACACTTCAAACCCTCCTTTTAGAGTCAGGTTGGGTTATTATTCATTAACCTAACAATAAACCAAGTATTATTTATTATTAATGTCGCTGAAGAAGCTGCTTATGATACTTCCAAGCTGTGACTAAATAGACTCTAAAAGGATGCTGGCCACCCCTCCCAGGAAGGGCTTTTAGCACTGAAAACTAACTTCTCCTTTTCAATGCAATTTTGTTCAAGCTTTTCCAGGGGGAAAAAAAAAAGTTTCCCCAGATAGTATCCTAAAAAGAAGCCAGTGATACCAAAAGGCATAAAGCCTGGCTTTTTTTTTTCTTTGCCATTATAAACTGTCAACAACTTTAATTCATCAGTCCCCTCCCTCCCCTTCTCTGAAGGAGAAATGTTAAGAATGGTTCAAAACATTTCCCCCATTTGATTTAGAGTTCAAAGGAACTGTCTGCCGTGGAGAAAAAAAAGCCAGCACTTGCCATCTTGCGGATCAGAGTGACTATGGCATAGGAGTCTCTTGAAGGTCAGAGGCATGATTGTAGCCCTTGGGCTCCCGCGAATCGCCATTAGCAAATCCTAAATCCAATCATCTCCCTATCTACAGACTTCGAGACGAGGACGGTTTGAAGGTATCTCCTTTCGGTTCTGGACTAGAAAGCGCCATCAGAATAGTGACAGTCCAGGTTTCACAGGGGATCTAGCTGTCTCCTTTTTTAACTCAGTAATAGCAAGTGGATCGGTGACATTTCGGCTTTCGGTATATCAGGATTCGGGGAGACGGGGGTGGAAAGGGGGGTGCATTTGTGCGTTTACCATTCCCCCGTTACGATGACGACTTCCTAACCCCGTTACTCCTTCACGTCTACGGGCTGGCATTCTCTCTCTCCAGGTGCAACGTCGCGACCCCAGAGGAGCGTCGGCGGCGCCCCTCGCGCCGTTTCAGGGGGGCGCGAGCACGGTCCCCGCGAGCGGGAGGTGCGGGCTCAGAGGTCAGGGAACCAACAGCGGGCAGCCCCACGCTCCCGACCGACCCTTAACGTCCGCGCACCCGGAAGGGCTAACCTCCGGGCCGGGGGACTAGAGAGCACGGTGGGGCCGCGCGCCCCCCCCT